CTCAGATTACAGCACCAGGCTTTAATTTTGTATGTTTCTGTCACTTAGTAAGCTCAGTAAAGGTTGTACTGAGTTAATGCGGAGTCAATGAATCATTCGGATGCATAAGTTTTTTTTAAACCACAGCTATTACTTGATAATTATTTCTTGTAGAGCATCCATTAATTTTAATTAATGCAATTGAAAAATAACAGGCTATATAAGTTGCCTGCAAGAGAGAAACTCTGTGCTCACTTGCCTGTATCTAACATCCTTGACTAATTGCTGGATATAAATAACTAATATGACTCCAGATGAAAAGACAGCTGAGGATTTGCTTCCCAGGGGGTCTTTAAAATTTTTTCTCATGGAAAAACTTCAAAAGTAGAGAGAATGATAGTATGAGCCCTCCAGGGACTCATCACCCAGCATCAAGAATCATCACTATTTCGCTAACTTTCCATTACCTTCCCTGCTCCTACTTCTTTTTTTAGACTGGAGTATTTTAAAGCTAACCCAAAGATTCATTTCACCATGAACACTTCTATAATTGGAATGAAAAGGCTTTTGTGTGGCCCTGTGTTTCTGTTTCTTTAGATCTGCTGGTACAGGAAGTGATGATAAAAAAATTAGCAAGGGTGCGTGACGGTCTGGGAGGCCCAGGCGAGAAGGGCGCATTCCTCACAGGCTGCGAGATTTGTTTTGCCCTTAACCCAGACCACTCCTTCATGGAAATTCCTCAGGCCTCGGCAGTTACACTTTTCTCAAATGCTGAAAGTCATATATTCTGGCTTCCCTGAGCTAGAGACATCTGGGGGGGTGTTGCTTCTGAAACTATTTTTGGCATGAAAATGTCACTCAAGTTGCTTGCAGCTAGTTGGAATTGTGTGTGTGTGTGTGTGTGTGTGTGTGTGTGTGTGTGTGTGTATGTGGACAACAGCTAGTTGGAATTTTTAAAGCATTGCAAGCATCTGGCTAGAGCGTGGCTGAGGCTGAGCAGGTAGAGTTAATGATTATACAGGACAGTCATCCCCCAGCAGGGTTCTTGCTCCCTATGCCCTTCCTGTTTAATGCGTTTAATGCCTTAGGCCAGAGATCACACCCTGGTTGGGAAGTGAAAGGTGGCATACCAGGTGTGGGGGAGGAGTCGCCATGGCATGGTAAAGGGGGAGCCCTACTGGCTGGCTAGCCCTCCTTCAATCTGCACATCCTGCCTGGGCTCCCTGGAAGTCCAGCACACTGGCAGATCCACGGAGGATCCTGGAGAGAATGCTCGGATTGTGCATTTGTGGATGGGTTCCTCTAGATAAGAGAGACAAAGTTCCTGACTCTGTGTCCTACACAGGGTATCAGGGATCAGGCTGGACCAACTGAGATGTTTCCTAGGAGGAGCCAGAAAAAAAATGGAAGGAACAAATGAGAATTGTAGCTAACGAGGTAACAGGAGGGGCCCCAGGAAACAGGATGCTGGAAAGAGTACCAGGCAGGCGCCAGGAGTGGTGGCCACTGGGAAGCAGCTAGGAAGGGAGAAGTAAGGTGAGGGCCAGCGGTTGAGGCTGGCTTCATTGGACAATAGCCCACTACTGCCACTTACACTGGGCTCAGAAAATGCACAATAGATGAAGATGGAAAAGACCCTATGGGGAGGTTGTGATTCATATCCTTTAGCAAGGCTCACCTTCATCCCAGTGGTATTTGAGGTTTCATTGGGATTAAGTGAGAAGAGCCAAGAGAGACCACAATCAAAGGTCTCAGGGTCCCCATCCCCACTACCCCACCCCCCAGGACCTGCCCTGTCCACAGTCCTCCTAGGTAGGACCCTAATAGCAGAATTGGCCAAGCCTGGGCTCTCTGAGGCAGGTGCAGGCAGAAGAGGGCAGAGCCAACGAGGGTGCTGGGGCTCCTGGTGCTTGGGATGCTGCTCCAGGATGCGCCCGGGGACTCTCTCCAGGGAGACTGGACCAAGAGAAACTGTCTGTGTGCCACAGAGCAGGGGCTTCTGGTTCCCATCTGGCATGTAAGGAGCTTAGAAGTCACCACTGCATCCTAATAGCAAGTAAAAAGCTGAACAAACTGCGAGATCAACAACTCTTCTTATCTCCATCTGTCAGAGAGGTGAGGTCACAGGGCAAACCACTGCCCCCAAAATTGGAGAGACAGAGAGGTGGATGCAGAGAATTGCAATTTACTGGAGCAAAAACCCATGAGCAGAAAACTCAGCAGAAACCAGTACTGGGTAGGGAAACGTGGATTGTAATAGATGAATTGCTGGAGGCTCAGCGTGCGTACGAGTCTGGGAGAGAAAAACTCCAGGGGACACAGTCACCAGGGGCCCCAGGCTTTTGTGAGTTTTACTTTCAGGAGCTGCACCAATTTCTCACAATGAAGGTCAGAAAAAAATCCCCTCCAGCTTCCATCAGGGGGATGAGAAAAATAACGATTTCTAAATGTGCCAGAGCATTCTATTCTTAACAAAGCCTGAACTCAGGAGAAACTGTTACCAAAGCCTAATCTGCTGGGGTTTTACCAAAGCCTAACCTATCTGGGGAAAGGAAAACTTCCTAACTCCAGCTCTCTAGTCACCCTGTTCCACCTAAGGGGGTGAAAAAAAGAAGAAACGAAAAGGTACTTGTGAAACTCACAGTCTGGGACCCAGGTTTACTGAAAGACTGAGCCCTAATCATAGACTATAGAACACTTCAGCTCCCCCCACACCTTCCCAGCACATCACCAAACGCCTGTTTTCTGCAGTTCCTTTTACCTGCTATGTTGTAGCTGCCTTTCAACAATAAATTACAAAGCATACTAAAAGGCAAAAAACAGTTTGAAGAGACAGAGCAAGTATCAGAACCAGACTCAGACATGCCAAGGATGTTGGAATTATTAGACCAGGAATTAAAAAAAAAAAACAACTATGATTAATATGGGCTCTAATACAGCAGAGTAAGGACCAGCTCCTGCTCCCAAACTGTCTTGTCACTGGATCACAAAGCTCACAGAGTCGCCAGCCGCAGGATGCAAATTGCTGGCAGCTTCTTCTTAAGAGTGTAAATGCAACCCTCACCAACAGGGGGCGCTCACACCACGTTCCATCAGGGCCAACAGGCTTTCCCATTTCATTGAAATTTGTGACATTTTCATCCACGTAGGAAAGAAGTCAAGACTCTCTTCTGAGATGGCAAGTACGGGAGTGGGAACATGGGCTAGGATAGTCTTTTTCTTTACCACATATTTATGGGAAGAGAAAACCAAAGGAGAATAGAGTTCTGGTAAGCAATAAAAAAATCTTAGGGTGAGCTGGAAGGGCCCTAAAAATGATCGTTTGGTCTTCTCATTTTACAGATGGGAAACTGAGGCTCAGAGAAAAGAAAAATATTGTGCAAGATCCCACAGCGAGTGGGAGGCAGAGGGATGCTTCAGGCCCAGGGGTGTTTGCCTCCAAGACCTGCACGGTTCCCCAGACTCCAGACAGGTCCCCCCGATCCCCACCTCTCACCAGCAGAGGTCTCATTGAACACCCAGCCTGACAGCTGCATGTAGATGGTGGATGGATGAGTGATTCATTTCATCCTCAGTTCAGAAGTCATTTCAGAAATCAGAGGCAGGTGTTACCTCCTGGTGTTGGGAGTATAGGTGATATTTATTCCTTTATAATTTCCAGGGCCTTCCAAAAGTTTACAACAAATATCTACAATTATATGACTTCCCTGGCAGGGGGGACCCCAAATCTTAGCTTAAAAAAGAAGGCAATTGGAGGGCAGTGACATGCCCAGCTCTGTCTTGAGATCCATCAAGCAAGGACAACCAATATCTGTCACACCAGGCAGAGGCCCCATGCTGGGAGAAGCACTGAAGGTATCCAACTCCAAGCCTGGCATCCAAGGCCGCATAGGCAGCCTCACCCCGTGTCTTTGCCGTTGCTCCTACCATGCCCTGCTCCTAAAATGTCCTTCTCCCATTACCACCACCAAATCAGACTCATTTGTCAGAGCCCAACACCAATTCTGCCAAATGTGTGAAGGCATTTTAAAGCCCTACCTCCCCCAGTTGGGATGACCATCTGTCTTCCTCCTCTGACCACTGGTGGCACTTTGCTTGGACCTGTTGTATAAACTTTATCATCTCCTGTCTTGTCCTGGAGTCATTTGCACCTGGGTCGTCTCCTCCTTGGGGCTGACACCTCCTTGTGGGCGGGGCCTGCATATCACCTATCTTTGTATTCCTAGTGGCATCCTCAGCCTGACACATGCTAGACTTCAAATGAATGAATGTTGAACGTATGTGAATTGAAACTATAGTATTCTAAAAAGGGGGTATTATGATATATCGGTTTATGACAGGGCTAATCAACCCGGCCCTATTGGTATCTGGGATTGGCTAATTCTATGCGGTAGGGAGGTGTGGTGTTTAGCAGCATCCTGGTCTCTGCCTACTAGATGTCAGTAGACAGCCTCAGTAGTGACAACCAAAAATATAGACATTGCCAATTATCCCCTGGAAAGCAACATTGCCTCCTGTTGAGAACCACTGGGCCAGGGTTCATAAGGAGTTTGCATGAACAATCCCTAGGAGTGGGAATGCACATTGATAGATGAGCAAGGCAAGGCCCATGGAGAGTTTAGAGCTGAAACTGAGCCTTGTATTTAGGCCTCCTTTTCCAAGTCCAGCGCTCATCCCACCATCCTGGAGGTCTCAGGACCCCAGCAAGATCTTTGCTTTGCCACTTTGGTGGGGAATGCACATTGATAGATGAGCAAGGCAAGGCCCATGGAGAGTTTAGAGCTGAAACTGAGTATTGTGTTTAGGCCTCCTTTTCCAAGTCCAGCGCTCATCCCGCCATCCTGGAGGTCTCAGGACCCCAGCAAGATCTTTGCTTTGCCACTTTGGTGTGTCCACTCCATCTCTACCCTCATGTCTTGGGTTCCACCCTGTCCCCTTCCCCTCTGTCCCACCCCCATGGTCTGTGCCAGGCTGTGACCCACTGGTTGACCCTATTGGTTCATGCAGACTGGACCTCAGGCTGCACTTGAGCATGCCTGTCACATCGTCTTCAGCTCCTTGGGCTCGTCCCCATGCTTGAACACACTGATGGTGACCTGGCCCGTCTCGGAGCCATACTTGTTCTTGACAAAGACACCGTAGCGCCCGGTGTCCTCACTGTTGACCTTCTCGATGGTGATGGTGACTTCCGTCCCCCTCACCTCCATGTGGTAGCGGTCAATGAAGGTGACAGGTTGGTCGTTCTTCAGCCAAAAGATTTCAGGGGCGGGGTCTCCTGAGATGACGCAGGTCAGGCACAGGGTCTGTTTCAACAGACAGGGAGAGAACANTTGAACACACTGATGGTGACCTGGCCCGTCTCGGAGCCATACTTGTTCTTGACAAAGACACCATAGCGCCCAGTGTCCTCACTGTTGACCTTCTCGATGGTGATGGTGACCTCCGTCCCCCTCACCTCCATGTGGTAGCGGTCAATGAAGGTGACAGGTTGGTCGTTCTTCAGCCAAAAGATTTCAGGGGCAGGGTCTCCTGAGATGACGCAGGTCAGGCACAGGGTCTGTTTCAACAGACAGGGAGAGAACAGTTCTTACCTCCTGAAACTTGACTTGGCATTCACCCTTACATCCCCAGAGAGCTCCCAGTACGGGTTGCTCCTTGTGATAAATTCATTACCTGTGTTTTATTGTAACACGTAAAGGGGAGTAACATTTTATTTTAACCCTGCATCCTCTGTTCTCAACCTTTCTACAGGAATACTGACTAGTTAGAATTTTAGACCATTATTACTCTAGCAATTATCTGCCCCAGAATGGCCTGCACTTTGTTTCATTGCTTTTGGTATATATGTCTTTATGATTTTACCAGGCAAGTAAGATTATATTGCTTTAGTACAAAGATTTATGAATTGAGTTTGAAAATTCCTGAACAAGCTCTAACACAGAGTGTAACAGCCAAAACACATAGGCTCTGGAGTTGGGCTGCCTGGATGCAAATCTCAGCTCTGTCCCTTCCAGCTGTGTGACCTTACATAAGTCCCTTAACCTCTCTGGGTCTCAATTTCTTCAGTTTTAATGTGCGACTAGTAATAATACCTTATTTCATGTGGTTGCCTTGATGGTTAAATAAGCTAAAATAGGTAACACATATGGAATAGGGCCTGGCACACAGTAAGCACCGTAAAAATATTAGCTATCATTTTCTAGAACAATAGACTTGCATAATTACAGCCCTAGAAGGACCTAGGGATCTGATTTTAGGAATCATCCAGTTGAACTCCTGTGGAAACTGAACTTCACAGGTGGAAGTCTGTGACATGCAGGGCTGTCTACAGAAACGAGAGTAGGGTTGGGTCGAGTACCACAGGTCTGACACCAGGCTCAGTGGCTTTCATTTGTACCACATGCAATCAGCAAGGTGTGGTCACTTGGCCAGACTCATGCAGATCCAGCCCCTATGGCCAAACAGCCACTCTTTGGCTGCTGAACCCACAGTGCTACGTGGATCGATGATCCGTGATGGATACGTGAGGGACCACAAGTGTGGGACTGCTGACTTGGGCCGGGAATGGTCCGTACCTTATCCTCCATGATCGTGGCCACGTCTGGCAGACCTCTCACCACTTTGGCACGATCTGGAAGGGAAGTAAGAGACCCCGGTGAGTAACGCTTTCTTTACAGCTGCTTCTCAGAGGTGAGGTTTATTTTTAAGCAATGCTTCTTTTTCATATTTTCATCATTTTGGATGGAAATCTTTAAAATTGTAATACGTGCTTCCTCATCTTCACAAGGAGAAGATATGGGACATAGCGTGTCTGCCACTGATTTGAGGTCATCATTATGATTGGTGGTACATGGAGGGGACAATGAGTTGTCCCTGCCCTCAAGAACTGGGAAAGAAGGTAAATGAGATTGCTCTGTGATTTTCACTGGCAAAATGTACACAATAGGCATGACCAACCAGCTGAGGGAGTCAGGAAAGTGGGACCTAAGCTTTTGGGACACCCTGACTCTGGTCAAGCGAGGGACCTGGTGGCCATTGTGGGTGGGCAGGAAGAGAGGTGGTTGTAAATCACTAAGCAGAAAGTCATTTTATTCCTTATGCTGCAGTGGGGACTAGAAGGGTGGTCAGCACGGCTGCGACCAGGGATCTGGGATGTGCAAGGAACCTGACGTGGATGGCATCTGCCCAGTGAATGAAAGGGGAGCAGGACCCTGAATCGGTTGGAGAAGGCCTGAGATGGATGCTATTGTGGGTAGGACTTTTCACCAGGTCCTCCACGGCTGGGTGGAATGATCCACTTTCCTTGATTCTGATTCCACAAGCCCCAGCACCACATATCAGTGAATTCAGCATCCCTCTGTTAGGGTCCTGCCTGGCGCACACTGTCCAGGGGCATGGCATTCCAGGGTGGGAGGGGATGTCCTTGCTGGGTAAGTGATTAGGTTGGCAGTATGAGAACCTCTCCCTGGCCCCAGCAGGCTGGGGCTGCTCTTGGGACTGTGCTCTCTCCTCCATGGCGTCTGTCCTCCTGCACCAGCTTCCCACTGAGCCCTCCTGATTGGCCCCTTCCAGTTATGAAGTCCGAGGCCTGTACTTCCTCTCAAGTGAGGATGCTCTGGGACAGTGATGCCATGCAGGGAGGTGCACACAGATGGCCCCACGCTGGTGGCATTTTAGTGCTCTTGTCTGTTTCATGTAGCCGTCCAGTCTCCTTCCTTGTGGTCAGGCTGGCAGGGGCCGCTGTCTGGGACTTTCCCTCATTGAAATCCCTACTTCTCATCTGCTGGGCCAGGGAGACCAGAAAGCCGGACTCCTAGCACTGGACCATTGAGAACAGGCAGGGGGGATCCGATGAACAGGACAAGCTTGAGCTTGTGGCATCAGCGGTGGCCCCCCCTGGCAGCTCAGAGCTGTGACACATCCCTCTGGGCTTGGGGCTGCATCCTGGACTAGATGAGACCTCAATGCCCTGACAGGCTCAGTTTCAGCTTTAAAACCAGCTCCTCCCACAGTTCACTCGGGAAGGCCTGTCCAGCCTCCTTCCTCTCTGTCCCCTGCCTTTCAGTCCACCAGCATTGCCCATGCGCCCACTTGGCTCCAGGCCGGCGTGGGGTGCTCCCACACCCGCGATCTCACATGTCCTCAGACTCCTCATCTGTCTGACTGTCTGCTGTCACTGCCCACGTCCCCCCCGGCAGCTCTGTGAGAGCCCAGAGCCCACAGACCCCACCAGGGAATTGGGATTTTAGCAGCCTGCTGGGAGGCTTGAGCTCTGGGGAAGTCACCCAAACTCAGAGACAAAGACAACAGAAATATTGGCAGACTTACTCTTCTCGATGATAGCCAAGGCTCTGGAAAACAGAAATGAGAACAAGGTGTGGGGTTTCATTTGTTAGAGGACAGGACAGTCCTGCCTGTGTGGAGGGAAAGGAGGAGCGGGCCGAGGCTCCCAGGAAGGGGTCCTGAGGACAGTTCATGCCAGACCCCCGAGGGGCCCATGATTCACACCAAAAAATGTCGAGGAAACTTACTTCAGTCTCTGGTGTTCAGCCAAGGCGTCGTCAAAAGCTACAAGAAGGGCAAAGGGGGAGGGGAGCGTCAGGGCCTCTGCCATGTGACCCCCAGGGACAGGGCTGAGTGCTGACTGTCATCCACTCTCCTCCTCATTCCAGTACTCTTTTGGGGCAGTGCCGGGATTGGGTGGGGAGATGGGAGTCTCCCAGAAAGACCATGGGATTTTTAAACAGGTTTCCCTGCAGACAGACAGGTGG